TTAAGAGTGGTCAAAGTCCAGAAAGGTGAATGCAGCACTGTTTTTTCCAGTTTTGACATCAGTATTTCTTGGATACAAGGTTGAGTATTCACACTGCTAGCACTAGTTCCTGAATTGCAGCCTAGATTACCTATGTCTGACTAGATATAAGGAAAAACTTTTTCCCCCTGAGTGTGGTCAAACATTGGAACAGGTTGCCTAGAGATGCTATGGAGTGTCCATCTTTGGAATCATTTGGAACCCAGCTGGACACAATCCTGTGCAACGTGTTGTACCTGACCACCTTTGAGCAGAAGGCTGGACTAGAGACCTCCATAGCCCTTCTAACCTCAGTGATTCTATGCGTGATTCCTAGTTTATTCTGGAAGTTTGGTGATTCTGTCCCTGTTTTCCCTGACAACATGTGGTTGCTTACATGCAGAAGCTGTGCAATCTGAGAATCAGGGGACAAACATACTGCTGAAGTCCAGTCAGGGTTCTGAAATCCTTTTCTTCTGACAGGTCTAATCAGCACAACCAAGACACCCAACAGAAAGGACTTCTAACAAAACACAAGGATAGTGATTTTTCTTCTAAAACAAGGAATTTAATTTTCATAATAACAAAGTTTCTAGAATACTTGCTATGAAGACATGAGTTTAGTTTCTTCCTTAGCCTGTACAAGGTCAAACCCACATCTCTGAGATATGGGGAATCTCAGTTCCCCAAATTGCATTCTGAGCAGCAGGCTGTAAGGTGGTTTGGAGCAAAGGCACTTCTTTCTTTGTTGATACGCTCCACAAGTTTTATCCAAAGACCCTTTCACATAAAATTCATGCAAGTGTTTGGCCTAGGGACTATAACTAATCTCCTGCATGCTCGGTAAATGCCTGGATCGTGAGGCTGCAGCAACACAGCCTTTCTTGTACATGAAGACCTTCACTTCTAACCAGCCCTCCCCAGGCAATCTGTGCTTCATGAAAAGGCCATGAGTTACAAAAAGAGGAGGACACCATGCCAGTTTGTTAAGTCTTCTCCTTTACAAGCACCCCAATTGTTATTGATTAGAAGGTGAGCAGTAACGACTCCCAGTTCTACAGCTATTTTGTCATGGAAGGAAAGAATAAGGCTGCTTAGTTCTTTGAGAAAAAAAAAATCTGAATTTGTTCTTCAGAAGATGGTTTTAGGCTGTGAATGGGAAATAACAGAAGGGCCTTTCTGCTACCTGTAATCAGATACAATAAACCCAAGAAAGAAGAAGTGTTTGAGATATTTCTTCATGATTTGCATTTTGGTTGCTAACTAAAGGGACTTTTTCATTCCTTTTGGATGCTACTCTGGAGGGGCTAACTCTCCTAAATGCCTTTTATGGAGAATTTAAGGTCCTACCTAAGGTTCTGGACTTCACTTTCAGGATTAGCTCCACGAAATGTAGTAAGTTTTAGGTACAAGGTGTTTTTTGGCCCTAGGTGACTAATGTAAGATATCACACTGAATCAGTAGCAGAACAATTAAAAGATGCCAAATTTCCTGAACTTGGTTGTGCTCCTCACAGCAACAGTGCATGAAATTTATGGAAGAGACTTATCATTTTCTGTAATAGTTATAACCAAATCAGCAGCCAGTAACAAAATTAAATGAAAAGATCCAGACCTTGTCAGCTCGTTGTTCTTACAAAAGGAAATTCATATGGTAATATGCAGTCCTCTGTGGATAGAAACTGCATATACAAGGATTCATGTTAACATCTAAAACAGGAGGAAGGCCTTTTTAGACATTATAAATATCAGCACTCATCACTATATGCAAGTAGATAATTAGGGTAATTATTCCCAATTAGCAGCTGCAAGCCCCGCAGATGGGAATTTCAGGGCCTGGTAACTGTTGTAAGAAGTTTCTGCAAGCTGCAAAGCCTTTTTCGTTTTTTTGGAAAATACACATTCAATGAGCCTCATGCATGCTGTTAAATGTTTTTGTTAATATTTCGAAATAAGAATCTTTCCTGCACTAGTACAATACTTCTACTTTTCTTTAAAACTATGTTGGGGTCTGAAGTGGCCTGGATTTGGAATAATTTTTCCAAGTTTTTAACCTATCAGCTAAAGTACATGATGAACCAGGCTGAACTGGGACTCAAATTTTGCTTCTATTCTCAGTTCATGAGGAAAAACAGTGTCAAGGGCCCTTTCGTTGGCTTTTGAAGACAGCAAAAGGACTCCAGCTGCTTTCCTAGGCTTTGCGTGAAACCTTCTGAGAGAACACATGGTCAAACTTGCTTGCCAGGTTCCAGGAGCATTTTCCCTGTGTTCATTTTATTCTGCTCCTTTGAATGGCTCAAGGGTAAAAAAATACACATATTTTAATTATAAATAATATTTTTTTCAACCTTAAATGCTTCTGTGATAGTCAATGAGTTGCTCTGATTAGAAAGGGATTCTTGGTGTATTTGTGTGTACTGTGAGTACATCACAAGCACAAATGGAGCAGGGCTTCTTCAGTTTCTAGCTTTTGTGTGAATTCATTTAGCTTATGAATTCAGAAAGCAAAAGAAATGTAATCAACAAAAATAGTAAGGCAAATAACTGTAAGATTTACCCTCATGAAGCTCCTTATCACAGTGAAAGAACTTTATTTTTTTTTGATACATTTATGTAAAAACTCAGTTGATCCTATCTTTTAAGGTAAGACTCCAACTTCTCTCAACAAATAAGCTTGTGTTTACTTATTTAAACCCAGTCCTTATCTATTTATTTGAACATGGAGTTTCAGACAAAAGAAAGTTGAGAAACTAATCATTTCTTGCATTAGAGTAAATAAGGGTTATTGATCAATGTCTTTTTAAACTTTCTATTTAATTATCTTTAAGCTAAAATGAAAGAAAGACATTTCAAGCCAAAATGATTATTCTATGAAAAAGTTATGAGTTTTTTGAAAAAAAGAATATTAAGACTGAACATAATATAACATAATTCAGCTTTAGTACAGAAAATTGAACAGTATACCTTGCAGTTGGCTCATGTAGATGCCAATACTTTTTCAGCATTTGGATTTTGTTTTTAGCTCTGCTGACATACAAGTAATAAAGAAGATTTAAAAGTGAGAGTATGTTTGATGTTTGTATGATAGCCAGCTGTAGATTGGAAAAATAAACAAAAAACAACAAATGAAAAAAAAAACCCTGAACCTTAAGAAAATGCATTTATTTTGTATGTTTTAGGAGTCTGACTATTAGAACTATCTCTATATGTAAATAACTTTTTTGTCTCCTAGAATCTCAAAAAACCTTCGTCTGACATTAATCTCACACATACTAGGTCTTAGAAAAGAAATGAGGATGATGTATCACATTTACGGGCTTCAAGTTTTGGAAGATTTTTCACACTCCCTTTGCAATCACCATCCAAAGCTGAATAATATAAAAAGTTTGTTTCTTTGCATGAACTAACCCGTGTTTCATTTAGATTCATCCTCTGTCCTATTACTTTTTATAAAGATATAACTCATAATTTTTTTCTCTCATATTTGTCTCTAACATTTGTCTGATCTGTGCAATCTGTTTATCCACAATCTGTTTATCTATTTCTTATCTGACTTCATCCTCAGTCTCTCTTTTTTCTCTCCCGAGCTTGTTTCTTTATTTTAATATCTCTTATCTTTACTTGTTCACCCCCTTTTAAAACTTCTTTTCCCCCCTAATCCCTTTTTGGGACTCAAAGCACTAAGTCTGTTCACCTGATGTGTGGCTAGTTCATGTATCTTGAAAGGACAGTAAAGATGACAGGCAGATTGTCTTAGTTATTTAAATCTGATCTCCAAGACTGCAGAAACCAGTGGGAGCATTTCCTGCAGCTCTCTGTAGAAGGTTTCAATTATGTTTGCCTTGAAAGTCTTTATCAGACATCCTGCTTTGCAGAAACTCCTTGATATATGTATAAATGGAGGTTCAGATTTATAGTATATTGGTAAATAATGCCGTTGTACTGTTTAATATATATGAAGTCATCATGTTGATAAAGGATTTGATGCTGCAAAGTGCATCAGCCCTGGTCCAGTGGTGTGCTCTGTCACATCCTTCTTTTTAACCATGAGTCATTATAATGGATTTCAGGGAGTTGCTTATATCCTTTAAGTTAAGTAAATGCTTAAGTGTGTTTCTGGATTAGGACCAGAGGACTCAGTACCTTGGAAGATTAAACAAAAAGCAAAGAATCAGCAATACTGGCAGAGACAGGCTTGCCGAGTTTATCCATGTCTTAAAACAAAGCTGATTTCACTTCGGATTGGAAAATCTACTCCTGTTCAATTCTCTGCCAATTTGTGGTGCAGCAATACCCACCCACTAGCTGTGCATTATTTGACTACCAATCTTATTATTTGAAAAACCACCTCAACTGCATGAAAGCAGCCTCAACCAAGTGTATCAATAATTAACTGGCTACATTCCTGATATTTTGCAGTTTCTAAGTAAGAAAAAAGACAAATTACCACATTTGCTTTTTTTTTCACAGAAGCTTGCCCTAAATCCTATCCATTCATGCCAAAATCACAGCTTAGTTTAACTGAAATCCTTCATTCACCTTCCTGAAAAGCAACCAAACCCCCATATAAGGAGAGCTGGTAAAAGACTCTGAAGAGCTCAGCTTTCAATGAATTTTAGGTCTGAGACACCAAATTAACTTACTATTCATCAGCTGAAAATCTGTGTGCAAACTTTTAGGAGGTTAAGCTAAGCTGCTTCCTGCAATTTAGGGCATGTCTACCAATAGGTATTGCAGCTCAGCTCACAAACCATGACTTGATTGTTCCTTAGGTTCCAACATTTATAACCACTTATTTCTAGTCTTGAAATTAAATTGTCAAATCATCTGGGGACCTTAGAAATTTCTGAGTGATCTGTTTCTGAAGAATAAAAAAATCATGACTTATCTTTGTAAAATGAAAAATTGAAGGAAGAAGGAAGTATTTAAATACATGAAAAGAATAATGCACATTTCATGCATGTGTTTTATGGTTTCTATTAGGTACCTCAGGATGAATGGGGAGGGTACCCAGCTGGTGGGAAAGATGAAGAGATCCCTTGCAGAAGAATGAGAAGTGGGAGCTACATTAAGGCCATGGGAGATGAAGAAAGTGGAGACTCTGATACTAGCCCCAAGACGTCACCAAAATTAACGGTTCGACCAGAGTCGTTATTAAAATCCATTGGACAAAGACCACTGGGAGATCATCAAAAGTAAGTTTCACTATACCATGTTATACACCTTTCTGAAGTTGCCATGACTTGGGTAATTTCTTTGGGTCTTTCTGGTAATGGTCAGTATCCATATCCATGAGAAAATACAATACTGTAGTTAAAAAGGTAACTTTTGTGTCTTCATGTTAAACTAGCTACTGTTTCTTGTGATTACTGGATGAAAAACTGTCATGTTCATCCATGTAACAAGCCTGCTACTTCAGAAAGAGTTTCTTATGTGTACTGAAGGAAATATATCCATGTTGTTATCAAAAGTTTGAAATTCTGAATATTTCATCTCTAGAAAGATTGTTTTATATTATAAGTCTTTCTTATTTCATTGCTTTCTCTGAAATAGAAAATGCACTCTATTCTATACTAGATATAATAACAAATATATAATTGTATCATATGTTTGGCATCTTACACTTTTTTATCAGTATAACATTTTATGTATCGGATATACTGTATCATACTCATATAACCACATTGTGTAGGGTTTTATTTGACTGGGCCTTTTTTTCATTCAGACTGCCTACAGTATGACTTATTAAATAACTAAAGCAAATTTTAACACTATAGGAAAATATGTACTTATATATGTTTTCCGATAGATCTTTATTTTTCTCTCCTTTTTATCCTTTCCATATATCATTTATAACTAAACTGTAAGTATACTTCTGAAGATAGTTTCAGAGTGGTTGCCTGATTTCAAATCTGCAGTTTTTATTAATATGACTGGGTGTTTGTCATGGCTTAGAAAATTGATCTTTTTGCCTGGAATAAATATATAAATTGAAGAAATTAAGAGTGAAACCTTTGATCAAAGGTTGTTTATTGTTCTGTAGGTAATACCATGTATAGTGTGCCATAGTGACTCACCTTTCCACAAAATAAAATAAAACAAAACAGAAACCTTAAGTGAAAAGGTTTTGGCTTAATTAAATTGAATTTTTTATCTTGCAATCTGGAAGAAAATCAACTTTCATTATTACTGAAGAGAACAGTTTACAACTCTATTGTTTTGTGTATCTTGCTCATGCATCTCTTTGGTCTCATGCATCATCTGTAGGCTCTATTCAGATGCAGAAAAGTGTCTGTACCGTGACCTGCTGTAAGATTTATGAGATACCATGAAACAAGACTGGCAGGTCTGTGCTCTCGATCGTCAAACAAAATCCAGGCAGGATACCTTACAGCATCTCAAAGGATGCCAGAGACCTATGTCTAGGCAACTAAGACAAATTCTGAATGTGAATCTGAAGGATTTGCTAGAATATTAGTTCCAATGATGAAAACATGGCCTACAATGTAAGTACTGATGGCAGACATGTACCTGGCTGATTTCTAAAGATGAAAGGATGAGTTCTTAATGACAGTGGCTGGAAAAAACATTCAAATTTTTTATATCCTCAGTCACTGTATCTGGGCTGAATTTTGTGTTTCAGACCTGCTGGCCACATCGACCGGTTCAGTCCAACTTGTGAAAGTCCCCGGGAAATAAAAAAATGTCATTAATTGTCAGCTTGTGAATATGTGTCAGTAGCAATAGAAGTCTTTCAGGATGAGGAGCCTGTAATTTCTCAGCCGTGGTGAAGACATACGTTATGAATTCTTCAGTCCTGGATTTTCTCATAAATGGCTCTGAAAGCTCTGGGTCTTGCAAAACGGCAATTATCCTTGTGGGATAAGATGTGCTAAGGGAGACTGATCTAACATCTGTGGCTTGTTAAGTGTGACCCTTCTGAAGGCAACAGGGAGAGAGGAGATAGTCAATTTTCTGAGACTTCCATACATTGACTGGCTGTTTTCCTGCTGGTAAACTAAATATTTCCAGAATACAGACCTGAGTACAGAAACCTGACCAGGTACACTACGAAGCTTTTGGAGTGGTCCCCAGAAGACTAGTTGCCTGGGTCTGTTAGCGCTGTCCCACCCACTGCCTGGCCATGTTCTGGGCATTGGTGTAGGCCAGGGTTCATTCACAGAAGGCAGTCTGGATGCAGCCACAGTGTTTCAGAGGGTATGTCATATCCACTGTAGAATGGATACTACACAATGAAGTGTAGCATTACAAACTAGATCTTTTCTCAGAGACAGTTCTAACTTTCCAAGTACTTAGACCAAATAAAATACATTCTATATATTCTGTATCTAGAATATTCTATAATCTATTCTATTCTATAATATGTAATATGTTCTGTTCGCCTCCCACAAGCAAATGTAGATAACAGCAAAAATTTTCCAATGAGTGGCAGGTCTCAGTGCCTGCCCTAGATCCCTACAGCTTATAAACAGATCCAGACAGCATCTAGACATGCATATAAACAAAGAATATGTTTCAAGAAAAAAAGGCTTTCTGATCTGTTAAATCCTGAAAGCAGGTGGCTGTTTAGTAGGTCAATACCAAATGTTGTGTCTTCTGTCAGTTTTCCATGTATTGCAAATACACCACTCAAAACATAATTGATTAAAGCACGAGTGCGATGATGATGCGGTATACTGGGGTCAACAGCTGTGCCTGTTCACAGTCCCAAAGGATTTAATGGCATAGTTACTGCTAACTGCAGTCGGAAAAGGAAGAAGCTTTTTGTAATACTGTAAAATATTATTAGGGGCTCTGTTGAGAATTTGTCACAAACACTGCACCAGGAATAATTGAGCAGCCCAGCTGCTGCTGACAGATATCTTTTAAATCCTTGGTTTTCCCTTAAACTGAGGGGCAGCACCTTGAATCTGCCAGCTTAACATACACATTTTTTCCAGTGACCTTCAGGCAGAAATGTGACAACTATTCTGATTCTTGTATGTCTTCCTTGCAAAAAATCTGTAGATTTCAGCAGTCCTAAAGCAGACAGAAAATTTCATGTCTCACAGGATTAAAAAGTGCTGATCCTAAACCTGGGGTTTCCCCAGAAGCCACCTCCTCCCAGGACGTCTGTCTCCCTGTCACTGTGGTTACCTTATAGAAGGTCTGGTGGATTTCTATGAAGGATGTAGCAAGAGATGATGGAGACTTCCTTTCTCCTCCGGCAGGGCTCAGTAATCCCCATTGCATGCCCAGTACCCTTTGCACCATTGATCACGTTGCTGAACCATAAGCCAAGGTTCTGAACAACATTCTTGCATGTATAGCAGGGCTGAATAGCATTTCTGGCATGTATTATGAGAAATTACATAATTCAAGATGTCAGATGCATTAGCTGGCTTTTTAGCTTGTTTACCAGGATGGAGGGAGCTAATGCACAGAAATAAAGTCAGGCTTATACTCTCTTAGTCCTCTGCTTACGTGACAGGGTAGCTCAGAACTGGGGTCTGACGGCACCAGTAAACATGTTATAAAAACTGAATATCGATAGTTTTGGCGGCATAAAAACATGCATTGGCTACAAAATGTATGTAGGTCGGTTTGATAAGAATAAGCCTAGTTTTCTATTGCTACCCTGAATAGGTTAAAATGAAAATTAGAAAAGACCTCACTTAAGCTTCAACAGACCAAATTTGACATGTGTGCATGTTTCTCCTCCGAGTTTTCTCAGATACCTTTGCAAGGATTTTTTTTCCTGTCTAAATTCTGTTTCTACTTTGACAAAAGTAAGTCCCTATTTTGTCGATTTGTGTTGCTCAAACATTCAGCTAATTGAACATTAAAAATTCATTAATAATGAAAATGCATATTTGCATCTGAATAAATAATTTTATTTAACAACATACAAATAGGTAAATGTAACTGATTTAACAGAAGCATTAAAATTATGAAATAATTCCTTTTAAGTTACTCTTGGAAAGGAATATATTTTACTCCAAATGGGAATAAAAAAAGAAGTGCTGGGTCTGCCACTGCTGCGTTACACAGGTGGCAGAAGGAGGGCATGCGCCCAGCCACTGCTGTCTGATCACCACCTCTGTCAAACTGCTAGCACAGCCAGCACAATCCCCAGCCCACTTTCAGCCTAGGCCACCTGCCTTTCTTCTAGATAATAGATAGTGCCCAGGCATGTTTCAGGAGCTAACACTGTTGGATGCAGCCACACTCTCTAAAGGATAAGAAAGTTTAACCGTACAAGTCAGTTGGCAAAGGAGTCAGCTAAAGGGCCTAGCTTATTTCTGAGTATAGCTATAGCCTAAGTGACTCAATATTTTCTGGATTATTCAAAAATTAAATGCACCTCATATCTAGATTACTCACTGAAGATAAATACATTTCAATTCTTTCTTTGTGAATGCTGTTTCAAAAGGCTAAATAGTATGTTGCACTACTTAGTCCTATAACAACAAATTGAAGGCCATTGAAATTTATTATTATTATGAAATTGCATTTGAGTGAAATATAATGCAATAAGGCTTGCTGTAGTGGAGACAGGACACATACTTGAATCTGCTTCCTTTCCAACTTTCTACTTTCTTGGAACGGTGCCAGCAATCCCATTTATTGTGGAAATTATCTTGACTCCTAGTAGTCCCAGGAGGAAAAAAGATTAAAGTTTTTCAAATTTTTTGTTTTGTTTTGCATTATGATTAGACATACAAAATCTTTCGGATGTCAGTTTTGGTATCCTGTGAACACATATAGATCTTCTGTAGGTGAAATGCAATCCCTTTCAATTCAGTCCATTGTTTTCTGCCGTGCTGTAATGCTACTGGTGATGGAGTTGAACTGTGTTGGAAAGTAGTTTGCAGAAGGTAGCTTGTAGAAGGTAGGTAGTGTGCTGCTAGGTATTTTCATTTACAGTAAAGGTCAAAACAGCTGAACAGTTTATGGAACAAGTGAATGTCTGTCCTAAACAAGTTTTGTGCAATCCTGGAAGAGAGACTGACCCATGTGTTTTGTAACGGTATCCTTCCAACCTAGTAAAAGTAATTGCTCTGTATTTGTGTCAAAAACAAGCAAAGCTGAGAGATGGAATCATCAAAGACGGTGAGATCCAGAAAGGAAGGCTGAAAAGAAAACAAGAATTTGGGACCATGTGATGGCAAAACAATTCTATGACTGAAAACAA